AAAATTTAAAAAAAAAAAAAATCATATTTAGAGAAATTCAAATTAAAACAATGCTTATATACCTTTTCTTACCTATAAGGCTAACATAAATTTAAAAACATGATGTGATCTGTTGGTGAAGCTATGGGGAATTAGGCATTCTCAGACTCTGTTACTGGGAATGCAAACTGGTGCAATCCTTCTGGAGAGGAATTTGCAATACGTAATAAAAAACTACACTTACCCTTTGACCCAGCAATCCCCTTCGGGAATAGAAGATACACCTCCAACAACATGAAAACAGATATACACAAGGTTCCTTACTGTAGTTTATTTGTAACTGCAAAATACTAGGAACAAGCTACATGCCAATACATAAGAAAATTGTTGAATAAACTATGGTACATGCACACAATCGAGTAGGATGGATGTAGTTGTTTTAAAAAGGAAATGAGGAAGATTTCTATGAGCAAATGTGGAGGGCCATGATTTCTAGAATATATAGTTATGTAAAAAAAGCAAAGCTATAGGAGGCCACCTTTCATGTAAGAAAGGGAATCTAAGAAAACACACATCTATCTGCTCATTTGTGCAAAAAAAAATATAGGCAGGATAAATCAGAAACGCAACTCATTTCTTCAGGGGACAGAAATGGAGAATGGGAATATGATTGATTAAATGATCACTTCTGAGAATACCTTTTTGTATAGTTTTGACTCTTAGAACTAAGCGAATGTCTCACGTACCCGAAGACAAGTAATTAAAATCAACCTTGACACTTTTGAACTGTACTTGTCAGGAATTTTGTTCACCGTCCATCAGCTTTGGCTTGTTTGATGTGTTTTCATGACCATATCGAGGTTTCATGATTAGATTATTTTTGGGCAAGAGTACCGTAAAAGATGTTGTGTCCCTCCCAGTGCATCATATCAGGGGGTCCATGATGTCAATGTCATACTATTGGTAATGTTAACTTTGGTCACTTGGTTAAGGCATGTCTACCAGGCTTCTCCACTGTTTTCCCCTTGGTAATTACATATCTTTGAGGAGATACTTTGAGGCTATGCAAATATCCTGTTTCTTCAAACCCACTGATTTTAGCACCATTCAGTGGCACATGCTTGCAAGTTACCGATACTTCAAGAGTGTCAAGGTAGAAAAGTAAGGAAACTGAAGCATTGTGAGATTGGGTGGAGACTTAAGGAGACATGACAACTAAATGCAATGTTGGATCCTGGATTATACCCAGAAACTGAAAAAGGACATCAGTGGAAAAATTGGTAAAGTTTGAATTAGGTCTACAGTTCAATATTGTACCAATGTTAATATCCTAGTTTTGATAATTATACCATGGATGTATAAAATGTTCACATTGGTAGAAACTAGGTGAAGGGTATATGAGAATTCTGTATTATTTTTGCAACATTTTTATAAGTCTAAAATTACTTCAAAATAAAGATTTTTTTAAAAAATTACAGGCAGTATCATGTTCTCGGAGTACACACAATGACACATTTTAATGTTGTCAATTCTATGCAATTGCAACGGAAAGAAACGACTATTTTAAAGTTACCTGGGGGAAAAAAGGAAACTTGTCCCCAGTTAAAGCATAGACAGTATTTTAAAAATCAGTGAGATGGAATATTGGATAAATGTGTAAAATTATTAGTCAATTGGGAAAAAATGATGCTACATGCCTACTTGATCTTCAATATCCCAGGATGAATTAAAGATTGAAATATAGTCCAAAGAGCTCTAGATGAAAATATGAGTGAATATTTTTATAACCTTAAAGTTAAGGAATACTTTTCTACTAAGACAGGCAAATATGATAAAAGACTGATAGTTACAACTGTATAAAAATATAAAACTTTGTCAAGACATCCCACAGTAAATAATATCGATGGCCAATGTGAGATGTTAATCCTCACCCAATTAAAAGATACAAATAGAAACAATGCAACTATATTTTGTGTCCAGCAAACTGACAAAGTGGACTGTCAAAGTGGATTTTTGCAAAATCCACTGTTACAGTGCTGTGGGGAAACAGGTTCTCTTACAGACTGCAAAGTGGAAATGTAAACTGGTACCAATTTGGAGAGCAACTTGCACCAAAATTCACTTTAACCCTCCAATTCTACCTTTAGAAAATGTATGCCAAAGTGACAGACAAGTATGCAAAGATTTATATGAGGACATTAACTTTAGGATTGTTTATAATGGGGAAAATTTAGAAATAATATGGCCAGACAGTACTGGTTAAATGTGTAGTGGCATATTCATAAAAAATAACATGAAGTCATCAAAAATGTCATTGTAGATATGTACTTACAGAAATTGTGCACATGTTGAGAGGGAAAAAAGCTGTTCATAAAACTGAATGATTGAATATATGGAAAATTGTTCATCAAAATGTTAGATATGGGGTAACTTGGTTTTTTCTGTTTAGCTTTTTATACCTAGCTTTTATTATTTTCATAATAAGTATCTCCAGCTATTTTCATTTTAGAAAACAAAAAGCCACCAAAAACAAAGTATTACTATCTTTATTATGCCATGAGGCAGTATTTTATACATTAATTCAGCTTACAGTAGAAACATTTTATGTACAACTATAGAGTAACTGCTGCACAGATAGCTCCAACTTAAAAAATGGGTTGTAATTTTAAAGTCCATTGAGTTGTATCATATATAAATTAGAAAATATTTCTCTGTAGAAAATAGTAAAAATGATAACATTTCCCAAGTCCATTTAAACCAAATAGTAGCTGAGTACATTATACATTTATAAATACAATTTGAATTCTGGGATCCAGGAGAAACACTAGTTTCATTTATTGAAACAGTTATGTTTTTCTTAAAATTAAGTTATGTGAAGTAAAATTAAAATGCCTATTAATCTTCCCTATTACTCTTGATTTATGCCTGATTATTTTTCTTTAGGCTGATCCATAATACACATCAAGGTTTTAGCTATTTCTTCCCAAAGGACAGGTACCATATCATTTAATCTGCTTGATAAGGTACTAATTTCTACCCAAATCATGAAATGTTCTGGTTGTTATTAAAGCATACTCATAATTTGGGCAAAACCAGAATCTAATAAATTATAACCTATAAGGTATTAATATATGTGGACTATCACCAAACATCTCCCCCTAATTCCCTGTGGCTTGATGGGAAACCATGAGGAACCAGAAGTAAACTGATAAAATTGACAAGTGGATCAAGGAATAAAAGCCAAGAGAATTCTGAGAACCGAGGGCAAGAAACATCTAATCAGGATTCAAGGATAGAACTGAAGTTCCAACAGAAAAAGGGTGTAGCCGCGAGGATCAGGAGTTGAGTTGGCTATGAGAGCCCCTACTGCAAGGTGATCAAGAAAACAGTTGCAGGAAGCACGGGGTGCCTGGCTTCTGGCCGGGCCTCTGCTTTCCAACACAAAAAAAAAAAAAGAAGAAGAAAATAGCAGTTAGAGATAAAGAGTGGGTTAAGTGAGAGAAACCACGCCCTAGAAAGATTTTAGTTGTTCAAACTGAATGAAAACAAGACAGACCATGTAGTTTTGATTTTCCTATTATAGTTTGTTCCAGGATTCCCAATACAGAATCTCTAGGAATTAAGGCGAGAAGATAATGCCACTCTTAAGCTCCTGTGCTATGTAGAATGTTTCCCACTAGAAATAACATCTGAGAAATCAGGCAGAGTGTTATCTGGCCAGGGGCTACATTAAGTTCTTCAGTTCCCTCAAATCAACAACTTAAAATAACCATACAGTTTGTCTTAAAAGGAAGTCTCTAAGCAGCTAAAAACCTTTCGATAGAGAAGCTGTTTAACAGAAAAGCCACCTATACAGTGGCTTTAGGAATAAACCCATTGGAGAAACTAAATTGAAGAATCATTCTACCTAAAAACCGAATCTTTCCCACTAGAAGTTAACCTCTAGAAACATTAATGATCCATTAGGTTTTCGCCATTAAAAGAATGTTGAATCATGCATCTTCACTTGTTCTTCTCTTTGCTCTCCAGAGTTATAAATTTGTTTCCCTCTTGCATGTGAAGAATATTTCCAGTGGGTTTTGTGACATACTTTTCAGCAATGCTCATCTCTGAACCCTCCTCCCTTAATTCCTTCTTAGTAAATAAAGTTAATCTTCCAATAGGAAGAAGTGGAGTACATTGTCATTTAAGCACCATTTATCCAGCCTTCTTATTTACAAAGAAAGCCATGGAGCCATCTTACACATTTGGAATTCCTTAAAGACAGTGGCTTTCTATTAAAATGTACTTCTACATACACGATCTGTGAAGAATTCATGGAAGCATGAATCACCTTATAAGAAGCAGCTAAAAATGTACCAAAATGCATGTAACTTTGGGTAATTTATATCAAATGTACTAAATCCTCCAAATCTAGAGCATACAATGGCATAAACTGTATTACAACCCGGCTAAACCTGAAATCTTGTTTCAAATCATTGCTCAGTATTAAGTCTCAGAAGACATGTTATAGAACCACATGAGGAACTGGCGGCTGAGGGATGCCAATTACAGAACTTTGACTTCCAAAGGCTCAAAGTGGTCCTCCAGAGACTGTTATATTCCATTAAGTATTTAAGGAAGGACACTAGTAAGAGACACTTTTAAGTATAAAAACAGGTCAACTTACAAAGTATAGTCAGATACATGCTTGATTTTTATCTTGTAACCTATAGACAATGCATTAGAATAAAAGTGAAATGAATTTCCAACACCTTTGCAAAAGGAAAACCTGATAATGAAGTAGAAATAAAGTTAAAAACAATATTGATCAGATGAAATAATTTAGATGAAGCTTGTCTGTCCAAAAGAGATGGGACTGGGCAAGTGGTCAAAAGGAAGCAAAATATGCTTGTAACTTTGTATGAAAAATAATGTGCAGTTCTATGTTGCCAAACAATTTTCTTTTTGCTATAAAAATCCTCTACTTCTCATTATTTACCAAATGCTTTACTAAAACTCCGCTTCTGGCCTTTGTTTTGGGATCTGTTACTTCTGTTGCCACCTCCTGACCGCTGTCCCCTGAAACCTCGATTTCTGTCCCGCTGTCCCCTGAAGCTTCTGTTTCCTTCCCGCTGTCCCCTGAAGCCTCGATTGCCTTCCCGCTGACCCCTGAAGGCTCGATATCCTTCCCGTGGTCCTTCCAGCTCTGGTTGCTCCGTGGCCACAGAGAGCTGCCAGCGTCGTGAATCATGCCATTTCTCCTGTTGAGAGAAGAGTTTACTCAATTTAGTTTAAAAAGGCATGAGAAAAACATTTTTCCCCCATTTCTCCAAAGAAAAACCAGATTGGTAACATAAGTGCTTAAAACGTCATTGGTCAAAAATAATGACCTTCATTGTCCTAAAGTCAGTTTACTGAAGTATGGGAAAATAAGTTTCACTGTGAGAAGTAGCCCTCATCACTACTTCACTTATTAAATCATTTATTCAATTGCTACAGAGTATCTAGAGCCTTCAAAGGTAATAAAACATATATCATGTATAAATTTTCACAGCAGTACTGAATAAAGCTGTAACAATTTAAAATGTCTATAAAAACCTGTATAACACACATAACTGGGGAGAAGAGGTGGATATTGTTCATAACTCTGTAGAAAGGAAAAAGGAGAAATGGACAGGCTCAAGAACAAAAATACCAGAATAAAAAGGTGAGGAGAGGCCAGGCATGGAGGCTCACACCTGTGATCCCAGCACTTTGGGAAGCCAAGGTGGGAGGATCACATGAGCCCACAAGTTTGAGACCACCCTGACTGAGCAACATAGTGAGACCGTATCTCTGAGCTATGATTGTGCCACTGCACTCCAGCCTGGGCAACAGAGTGAGACCTTGTCACCAAAAACAAACAAAAGGCTGGGAGAAAAAAAATACAAAAATTTAATTCTCAATTGTCTTTTAGTAAAGGGACTATTATTGTTTCCCAATCTATTATTCTGTATTTTCATAATGAACATTTTACAATTCAGGTATGTTAACTTTAAAATCCAAGAGAGAAGAATACCTGTATTTCTGTTACTGATGCGGTAGGTACATCAAAGCAAACACCCTAGAAATCAAAGCAAATGGAAGTTAATCCAACCAGTGAACATTAAATGACACTCCAAAAGGCCGAGTATTATATAGGGGGTGAGAAAAAACAGGTATTAATTTTAGGTGAACTTTAGACCAAGACCAACAAATTGTAGCTCCCAAAAGCACAGAGGAAAGCCAAGAAATATTGGAGAATAAGGACTCCAAAACAATTTTGAATTTCCCGACTACAGAGAGATTCTTGGCTATCATACTGTGCTAGCCCTCGAGTAGAGAATAGCTACAGTTTATAACTAAGGAAACAGGCTTAGAGAGGCTAGCTGACTTGTCTAAGGCCTTACCGCTATTAAGTGGAGCAGGTATTTAAAATCTGGTCTGTATGGCTCTAAAACCTATGGTCTAAAGCCACTACAATATACTGCCTTCTATCAGAAAGGCACTGCCAACTAAAAGCAGAAAAATAAGTGATCTTCCATTGTTAATTTTCTAGTTTTCCTTAATTCAGACTCCAGTGAAAGAGTATGAACAAAAGTAAATACTTCAATAGCATCTTATTACTAAAGTGCCATCCTTTCCAATCAAGGAAGTCATCAATAAATATGGCCAAACTACCCCTGTTAAGTCACACATGTACTCCTCTCCCTGCTGTCTTTAACTGATTATTTATGAGGAACACCCCTTCTACCCAACAATTGACCCAGTTATAACACAGGAATCATCAGGTACTAGTGCATTTTGCCATTCATGGGAATATTCATTCACATATTTACTGAACATTTAGAGTATAATACCAGGCATTTATTGAGGTATAGGGATAACTAGAAAACAGTTTTCGCCCTTAAGTAGGTCATAGTGTTCCTGAGGCTCTTGGTCAATAAGCAAACACAGCCAGGTAAAATCTACCCAAATAAGCTTATGTCCTAAATACTCTGAAGTACAGATGCCCCTAACTACCTATTAACATTTAAAGCTAAGCAAAGTCATAAAGAATACTGTGGAGGGAAAAAAATAAACAGTAGGTCCAGCGTTCACTTAGAGTGAGACAAACCCTTGGCATCGCTGGAATAAAGGGTGTTTGTTGGTGGTGATAAGTCAGAGATGGAGCTGGTAAGGGGGACAGAGGCCAGGACGTGAAGGATCTTATCCTCCGTATAAGAGCGTTGGGACTTTACCCACAGGTTATACAGAGTTGCTTAAGGAGGTAAATAACATGGTCAGACATGCAACGAGTTGAAGATAAACCTGATTTGGTTTGCTAGGCCAGCACTCTCTTAGTCCAGGCATCTTTGGAAACCTGAGATCTTTCAAAGTTTCCGTAATTATTTTCATAATAATACTTAGATATCTGCCTTATTCACGCTCACTCTCTCAAGCGTACAGAGAAGTTTCCTAGACGCTATACGACGTGATGATGTCATTGCTCTGATGGCTAAAGGAACACGATATTGTGTTCTAGAGTTCCAGGTTTAATTTCTAATACAGTAAACATCAACAGATGTAACCCATATAAACAAAGGCTTTTCAGGGGTCCCCAATATTTGTTAGGAGTGTAAAGGGATCATGAGACCAAAATGCTTAAGAGTTGCTGTGGTAGTCTATGCCATTAACCAAGAGCAAGACTCAGAAGAAAGGACACCAGCTTCGGGAAGCAGGATTTAAAATTCTGAATTTGAATTCAAGTTTCTGAATAAGTTACTAACTAAGCCATCTAAGTGGACATGTCAGGGAAGCAGCTGGATCTTCAAGTCTAGAGTTGTGTGCGGAATGGTTTAGGCTAGAGATATAGATATGGTAGTTGTCAATGATGGCGGGACAACTGAGGGTCATGGGTCAGATTGCTCAGGGAAGACAAGAAAGTGAAAAGATGCAGCATCCCCAGAGAACAGGAAGAAGCTACCATACTGTTTTCCTGCCCACGTAAAGCTAGCGAACCAAAGCGAGGTTACAAGAGGCCCCAGCCTTACCAGCTTTCCTTTGAGAAAGACCATTCCCTTCACTTTGGAATCTACATCCTCGCCCAGTTGCTCTTTAAGTTCTTTCCAAGCATAACTAATGTTTGGCATTTCAATTGAGCATCGCAAGATCATGGTCACAAAACCCTATGGAAGAAAGGGGAACAAAATTAAAGTTTCAAAAACAAACTTCATTTCCCACCTTCAGGAGGAAGTAAAAACAATTGAGAAGCTTAAATTCAAATCCTATGCAAACCCCAAATCAAAGCAGTGTCAGGAATGTGACGAGGAACCTTACCACATCTGAGTTGATCAAGGAGCGTTGGTCTACCGACGTGGCACCGGAAATATGGGCCAATGCTGCCGCCAGGGCTTCCACAGCTCCCTTCTCCTCTATCAGCTTCTCTGCCGACTCCTTGAAGTGACTAATGGCAGTGGGTGGCACAGAATCCAAAAGCCTACAGTTTGATTGAGAGTATATTTGTTAGGAGACAGGATAGTAGAAGTGGATAGATTTCATTTCCAAGACAACAGCACCTCAAGATAAATCAGTAACTTTGAGATCAAATCTTTCAAATGTGTAACACATCATTTTGATGTAATAATCACATTTCTGTAGTAACAAATCTATTCCTTTGATTGTATCTCTTTTTTTTTTTTTGAGACAGAGTCTTGCTCTGTTGCCCAGGCTAGAGTGCCGTGGCGTC